TTCAAGCTACAAGTCGTCAAATTTATACACTTTGTATTTTTAAACAAATAACTAGTAAGCTGTAAAAGAAATATAATAACAAACATACATATTGGACCTTTGTTAGGCCAACAATGCTCGTTATGTTGAGCCACCGTATGCATTTAACATTGGGCCATCCGTAATTTTCTCATCGGCCCTTAATCAGACCAACTTGTTGGCTTATTGTTGGGCCAATGCAACAGACAATATTGGATCACTGTTGGACCAATGTATTCTTTCAATATTGGGCATACATTGTTTTTGTACAGTTGGGCTATTGTAAGCAATTAATGTTGGACTACGGTAATTTAGTAATCGAGCCTTAATCAGACCAACTTGTTGACTTATTTGTTGGGCGAATGCAACAGACGGTATTGGGTCACTGTTGCACCAATGTATTCTTTCAATATTGAGCATACGTCAGTTTTGTACAGTTGGGCCATTGTAAGCAATTAATGTTGGGTCAACGGTAATTTGCTCATCGGCCCCTAATCATACCAACTTGTTTGCTTATTGTTGAACCAATGGAACGGATATTATTGAGTCATTGTTAGGCCACTAATTCTTTCAATATAAGGCAAACATTGTTTTTGGGCCAACGTGTTCTGTATCTTATTGCGTCTCCATCAGGATAACTCAATTGCTCTTCACTGGTTGGCCAGTTGTATATCTCACAGGATTACAATCAACAAGTAATGCATTGTAATTAGCTCTACATTAATGAAAAAGAAAAACCTGAGAAAAAATGAAATTAAATTGTAACATATTTTATTGTTCAGTTCATGATGAAAACATTTATAAAGAACAAAAAGTTGACACTCACTTGTAGCATGTATGATTATATGATGTGAATGCACAAGTTCAGTAAATTGCAGGTATCAATAAGCACGTCTAAAAATCAAAGCTCTCTTGTCGTTTGATAAATAATACTAAAATGAATCCCGCCGTAGGGATTACTTAAACAAAATAATGTTTCTTGCATCTGCAACGTGTACGTTGCCGACAAATAGACACACAAAAGGGTAGAACTTTAAATATAACAGAAAAAAGTTAAGCACTGCCACTTTCCATGTGACCCCTCTCCCGAGTCTCCTCCTCCTCTCTTCTTTTCTTGTCTGTCCGTATCTTCCTCCACCATCCCTGTCCTTGGAATACCTTAGTCATTCTTCGATATTTTTCTCAATATCTTTGTTTTTAGAATTTCCAGTTGCTCTGTTTTATCGAACACTCTCTAAAATTGTAGTATTTGGTACTTAAATACATTTGTTACTTTTCCCAGTAAAGAGTTAACAAACGAGGAAATCTTAAGGTGTAAGGTGAAAAATGGCGCAGATATTACAAGTAGCCCGGATGTTATCAACCCATGATGCTCAGCCAGATATATGGTATTGGGCCAACTAAGGGCTGATGATAATCCCTCAACAAATATTCTCTCTCATTACAACACTTTTATGATATAACCCCAAAAGTTAGCCCAAGAGTGGCCCCATAAAACATCACCAACTATCAATATTCCATGTTGGACCACCGATGGCCCAATAAAGGTATACCACCAGCGATAATACAACCATAATGCAAGATTGGGCCAACGGTGTGCTGCTATCTGGTAATACCTCTAAAATTGCCATATTGTGGTATAAATACATATCGGTGCAGATAAATTATCGGCGCAGATAATTTTTTGGGTGAAAATAGCAATATTTAGATTGCTAGTTTGCTTCCTTTGATGTTCTGTTAACAGTTTATAGTATAATATCAATGGACGTCTGCGAACATATAAGCGAGTCATGTGTCATTCTTCACCGTCGTGCATTGCTTACAAAATCGGAAAACAGTGATGTCGTTAGAGCCATTTCAGTGTTTTTTCCAAATTATTGACGAAAAATAACACTTTCATACGAGTAGGCCTGACAGATATTATTAATTTTATATTAATATCACAATATTTGTGGAAAGTGTACTGTCGCACTTATAATTAGGACGGCATGAAATTAAAAAGCTGCGTAAAAGTCATGCGCATTCGAATCAGACTCGGCCTTGTTAAGTGGCTGTACGTTAAAGCTCTGTTTTACAAAGCTAAAACTAGAGGGACTGTCAGCACTGAGCTCACCAAATGATACCCCCGCCTCCCATATGGTTATAATGACAAAGTCCATGTATTGATCTGGGAGACAGACACAAAATAAATGTCAGATTAAAAAGTAAAATAAGAAGTGGATAATGGCATTATGTAACGAAGAATCTGTGAAAGTATCATTAAATTTTATTCAGTGGTATGGAGGAGTTGCGCATAAGACATTGGTATATATGTATCCTTCAGTATTATAGACAGAATGGCAGTGTCCATGTTTTGCTCTTGGAAACCCAAAATATGTGTCGGATCAAAAAGTGAAATAGGAGGTGCACAATGGCACTATGTAACACAGATTCGGTGAATGTTTCCTAAATTTCATTCAGTGGTAAATAATGAGTTGCGGAAAAAGAGAAGGCTATACCCAAAAGCGTAACAGACGGACGTACGGACAGACGGACAAACACACATTTGGTTATATATTGGGTACCTCAAGTCCAAGTCCTATTGGATACTGCTTATTGGATACAAAAAAAGTGTACACACGAGAGAGTATTATTTGGGTAGTTACTGTTCAAATCTTATTGGATATTAATCCTCGTGTCCGTATTTTATTGGGTTTTTCTTATTGCTTTTTATTCATTTAAATTTATTATATATTTAATATTTGCTGGTAAATTCAGACAAGACTAAAAACCTTTGGTTTTGAACTCATATTTTTGTCAATTTCTGTGATATAGCTCTTTTATTGTAACACCTAACTAATTTGTTCTTAGCAACAAGGATATACACCTGTATATTTCAAAATAACTGATATTAAAATACATGAAAACCTAAGTGCAAAAAAACTGAATTGTGAAAACACAACTCAACACATCTCAGACTCTGTTCAACCTTTCTTGAATAACAAAATTAAGTATTTAAGGAGAAACCTTTTTGAGTCATTACCAATAAGCAAATGTCCATTACATGTTGGACAGAATGAAGGTATCCAACAGGCATTGGACAGGTGTCCTATACCTGTTGGGTTGTATTTTGATGAAATGATTAAAATATCCAAGAACAATTGGACATGTGTACATTGTCCAATTCTATTTGGGTTTCTTGAATCTCCTCATCAAAATACCACCCAACAGGTAATGGACACCTGTCCAACTCCTCTTGGATATCTACATCCCACCCAACAGGAAAAGGACACTTGTCCAATTCTCTTCTTGGGTTTCTTGAAATGTTTCATCACAATACCACCCAACAGGTAATGGACATCTGTCCAACTCCTCTTGGATATCTACATCCCACCCAACAGGCAATGGACACTTGTCTAATTCTTGGGTTTCTTGAATTGCATCATCAAAATACAACCCAACAGGTAATGGACACCTGTCCAACTCCTCTTGGATATCTACAACCCACCCAACAGGTAATGGACACTTGTCCAATTCTTTTTGGGTTTCTTGAATTGTTTCATCAGAATACTACCCAACAGGTGATGGACATACGTCCAACTCCTCTTGGATATCTACATCCCACCCAACAGGCAAATGACACTTGTCTAATTCTTGGGTTCTTAAATCTCTTCATTAAATACAACCCAACAGGTAATGGACACCTGTCCAACTCCTCTTGGATATCTACATCCCACCCAACAGGTAATGGACAATTGTCCAATTCTTCTTCTTGGGTTTCTTGAATTGTTTCATCAGAATACCACCCAACAGATAATGGACATCCGTCCAACTCCTCTTGGATATCTACATCCTACCCAACAGGCAATGGACACTTGTCTAATTCTTGGGTTTCTTAAGAATCCTCTCATCAGAATACTACCCAACATGTAATGGACACCTGTCCGATTCCTCTTGGATATCTTCATCCCTTCAATAGTATATAAACTAAAAGGTATTGGACATTCTTCTTGGGTTACTCAATTTTTTTCATAAGAAAGAAAACCCAATAGGTATTGGACATTGGTTCAACTCTTCTTGGATATTACATCCTGACATTAGAATAAAACCCAACAGGTGATGTTTACCTGTCCAATTCTTCTTGGGTTACCTTATGCCCTTAATTAAAATTGTCAAATTTGTCTTGGATATTTTTACTCTTGCATTAGATTTCAAACCCAATAAGTATGACATTTACCTTCCCTAGTTGAATTCAAATTTATCTGCATAAACATACATAAGTCCGAAACATATTTAATACTTTAATTCTAACATTCCACATCTCATTAAGTGTACACTTTACAAATGATAGCAAATATATAAGCATTTTGTGCCTAAACTATTTGGCATTTGAAGAATTTTATAACCATGTGTGCAAAATTTAAATTTAAATATTGGAACTTGGAGCAAGTCATTACAGGTAGAGCAAGATGCTGAAAATCATATTGATAAATAGATCACACCCTTGATAAAATATTTGCCTTCAGTTGCTAAGATTTTGTTGAATTATATGGAAAATTTCCATAATCCTATTTATTACAGATACATGTACAATGCATATTTTCCCTGCAATAATAAAAATACTTCTGAGATGTAAAAGAATGGATTAAATAGTCACCGATGTTAAAAAATATTTCATGATCTCATTAATCGGGTTTGGAAATCACAAACTTAGTTTTGAAGCCGATAAAACAGTGCCGCACCAGAAAACACAGTTACAAGTACAATGAATGAATTCATTGTATCAAAACTTTAAAATAATTGATCACTATGTCCAAATCTTTTCGACAAATCGGGATAAAGATATTAAATCAAATCATCACTGTTACAAGTCTTAGACTTAGAGCTAGAGAAAAGTCTTTACATGCCCAAATTTTACATGTAAGACTTTGATCCTACATTTCAATAAATGTCAAAATGGTTTTATTTTTGTTTCTGTTCAATACTTTCTTCTTCAGGGTCTTTTATATTGCCATATGTTTATCCAGTAGCAGTGGTTAGTCTCAGGCAATCTTTGAAATATTCCTCATTTCATGCATCTCCTTCAGTTCTGCCTCTGTCCATTTTATTCATTCTGCAATTAGATAAAGGCATTTCTTTGCCATATAAAACATGTTTTTTTTTACTACAGCAAGATCACCCTTTATGTTGATCAAACCCAAAGAAGAAGTAGAACTATATTATTTACTCAGAAATATGTATTGATAAATAAAATGGAAGAAAAACTAAATTCTATCAACTCTTTTTTTTTCATCTATGTCTAACTGCATTTTCATCCTACCCCTTCTGTCATAATTAAATCAAAATGGAATCATCATTCAACACACAAAACGATGTCGCATATTAATTAGACAGTATTTTAGTTTCTGATTGTAAAGAAGGAGATTTTAAAAAAAGACTTTACACCTATTCCTTGCAAATTTTTGACTTCTAATGTAACACTATCAGTACATTAGGGGTACATAATCTTCAAAAACATCTCTACACTTAATGATAAAGCTTTCACATTAGTATTGTTTTTAGCCCAATGGGTCTGCTAAGGAGGATTTAAAATTGACCCAAACCTTACTAACTGCTTTGAAATTATATTGACAGGGACAGAGACACACTTGACACTCCATCCCTTCTTCCTTGGGTATGCTTTGCACAAAATTTCATTAAAATTGACTAAGCTGGATAAAAGTTGAAAATATGAAAAATTACAGTCAAACAGATTATGAATAACTTTCAGCACATCAGACATGAAGTAGTGATCCTTAAAAAAATACCTCTACAAGATGAAGCTGTTTTATTCCTTTAAAGTGATATCTAGTATTGTTTCTTTTCCTGTATGCCACCTCTATCAGAACAAAATGTTATATATGTATTAACATAACCTTTGACCGTATAGTATCCCAGTATTTAATTTAGAATTAATATGGTTCTGGAAACCAACCCTCAGATGCCCTTAAAACAAATGATTCTAAACTGGCAATGGTAAAGGGCATCCGAAGAATTTAAAATAAAATGATAGTACAAACAAGCAAACAGCTAGTGTGCATGAAAAGGTTTGCAAACACTAGAAAAAATACTAAGGTACTTTCTCAAACTTAACATGAATACTAAAGAGGTTTTATGTAGCTGTATTGCACATACCAAAAGCTTTCCTGCAGTTAAAAGTTAGTTGCCTAGTAGTTATGTAGTATGTACAAGTTTTTCATTCTATCTCATCTAAATTAAGAAGCAAAAATGTCTCTGAAAATTTTATGGTTGGCATGAAGTATTCCTGTTCATTTTAGTGATTACTTACAATTGTCCTATTTCTGAGTGTCATCTTCTGATGGGTGTGTTCTCTGCAATGTTCACTATTGAAGTTCCTGTTTGACCTGTTATAAATTGAAAATCCTCAATGAACATAATTATGGTTTTAATTTCCATTGTTTAGCTTTTTGTGCTATCAAATTAAAGCCATCGCTGTGCAATAAAGGAAATCAAGTACTAATCCACAGCTTGGTGGCAATAAAGTTACAATCCCCGAGTAAAAAGTGACAAGCCCAAATACAGAGGCAAAAATTAAAAAGTAACATTGAAAAAAGTTCATCGTGAAAAAAAAGTCAGGGTATTAACTACAGATGATTCTTTTAAAAACAAAGTTAAATTTAATTTTCGCTAGTTAAATTTAATCATATATAAATTGATGATTTAAAAAAAATATAAAAAAAAAGATTTTGAATATTCCTTTTCTGGTCATTCACTAGTTCGTCTAATTAAAACAAAGCAAAAATAATTTTGTTTTCATCTTGAATCATTTAAAGCCATATATGGCATATGAACAATGATAATTACGAGACTAAAATTATAAGAACTTATTATGTGTATCATTACTTTATATAAACATGATAAAGAAAGAAATTTTCCATAAATTACAAAATCTAAATCAATTGCGTTATAAAGATATCAAAATTTAATTTGGATTCTCAGAATTTTCTCCGACTTGGAAGAAAATACAAAAGCTTTAAAAAACACATTACAGAGAAGATAAAATCGTATTATTAGATAAAACGAGGTGTTCTCCACGCTCCGAATTGTATGATAAGCTTTAATTTAAATTATTAACTATATTTCTTTACTTAATTTTGTATTTTTCAAAAATATATTTTTGATCAGTTACGCCATATATGGCTTTAAAAAATTGCTACATAATTGCATGACACTTATCATTGAGCTGATTGAGTGGATGTATACAATTTAATGATGAGATATCTGCGAGGCATATATGTACAAGCAAATATTGCTATATTAAACAAAGGAAAGGGGGAATTCAAATTAGGAAATAAAAGATCGTTTTAAAGTCAATAAGTTTTGTAGTACTGCAAAATGGATGCAGTTGTAAAGATTTATGCATAATATTAGCATGATGTCTGAAATATTTCCATATTAGGGAATTTAATAGCAAAATACCGGTGGTGCTTTTCATGTATTACATGTGTATTTTAAAATTCCTTATAGCCCAAGGGGATTCCTCAGTGCAAAAAAAAAATCACTAGCCCCATCCTCAAAAATGTAGGCCCCAGGTGTAGCGCGATGCTACATGAAATTACACACCCATCATGTGAAATAGGTATAGTAGCCCTATATCAATTTCAGTATTGTTTAAAATTAATTAAAACAAATGCCAAAAACAATAACTAAAAAATATCAAACTAAAGCAGACACTCCGTCAAAATCAAAGACAAAGAGAAGCACTGTTTTGACTGAAAGTTTTTCATGGTAATACAATGAATCTCTTAAGTTACATATCAGATGAGATAAACTTACATACAATTATTTAGTTGTTGTCAATTATCCCATTTATCATCATCTCAGCTCAATTTGCGATTGATTGTAATACTGTGTACATGAACCGATAATTTACAGCTGATTTATGAACACACGATTGTTAAAATTTTCATTTCCCTTTTCAATATACATTGTCAGAACATACTTAGTTGGTTATGATATAAAATTAAATAATAAACACATTCGATTTATTTAAGATTATCTAATAATATACGATCGTTTACTAAATACTTCTCGCCCTCAAGAGAGTTAAAAAGACAGAGAAAATTCAAAATACAAACAATTGCAACTCAGATTAATTGTTCCGATATATCTATTTTAATTTTATGCACAATTGTTTTCAAAATTAAATTAAAATCTATTTTCCTTAAACAAGAACCCAGCAATGGATAAATATTAATCGAATAAACTTACCTTTTCTCTTGTCAATCAGAAAATCTTGTTGACATTAAGTGTTTCTTAGTCGCCATATTTTTTTCCCATGAAAACAAACGTTGTTATGATCAGGATCAACGGAAGTTGATTTTCGGAACTCTCGAGAATTTAGAGTTCCGAATGTAAAACTGAAACAACAAAAACACGGTGCGTCCGTGAAGGCAACTTTTTTAGACACTTTTTTGGACAAATCGTCGTGTCCAAGTTTTGTTGGGTACTAACCTGCAAATACGCAATTAGGGTGTTTTAAGCATATTCAGCGAAACTTCTTATTGGGTATACCCAATAAGCAAAAAGTACCGAATAAAGCAACAATCTTGGCATGAAAAATACCGAATAAACGCACTCTCGTAACATATACGGAGACTCCGATCACTATACACCCTTCCTACTTTCTGAAGCGGGAATTGATAAGGAATATATAAATTGGTTTGAAAAATTGGTGTTATGGCTCTCTCAACAGATTTTTACAAAACAGGATTATACTACTAGTCATAATGTATTAAAATGTTTCAGATTTTAAATTTTTTTTTGTTTGAACAACGAATCCTTCAACATTTAATTTCAGCCATTGGTGGGGCTACTTTCGTTTGATGGGGAAGAGAGAGTTGTCCCGACGCCGACTCGGAATTGGTATACTGGGGTGAGAAGCAAAACCTTCTAGACTAGTTTTCATCAAGTTCATTTCCTTGGGAGTCATTAAAAGACAGATTCAAAATGTAAACGTATTTTTGTCTTTAACATTGGATTGTGTATTTATAATGTACCCTATACATATCAATCAGTTCTTCCTAGGCTACACAGGCGGATCACCGTATGACCAGACAGGAAGCGCAGCGGAGTATGTCTGTCTACCACGTGACCCTACTTTTCACAATATTCTGTCCTCAGCTGGCAATTCTATGTATGGTTCAGAGTATCAACGCCAGTGGCGGATTTAAGGGGGGATTTGCGCGCGCCCCCTGAGAGAGAAAATTGTCAAAGTTAGCGTAAATCAAATATGTCTACTTGGTAGAACTCATTTTTACCCTTCAAAATCTCTAGAATCCAGGAGATTCCGGGGGCTTCGCCCCCTGGGCCCCCACCAGGGCTTTGGTAGACCTCATTTTAACCCTTCAAAATCTCTATAATCCAGGAGCTTCCGGGGGCTTGCCCCCTGGGCCCCCACCAGGGCTTTGCCCTGGACCTACTGGGGGCCGCAAGGCGGCCCCCAGACCCCTTGCCTAATTTTGGCGCCCCCCCTAACTCCAAATCCTGGATCCGCGCCTGAACGCAATTTTGTTTCTGGAATCTATGATGAGGATGTTCCGTGTGCCGTATGTAGAAGTTTACGTAGCACTAGTGTCATCATGCTGCCTAGTAGAGAACATTGCTACAGCGGGTGGAAGACCGAATACTCGGGTTTTTTAACTAGTGGCGCGTTAGGCCATTCGGCAGCCTTGGAGTTTGTGTGTTTGGACCGGCATCCAGAGGTCTTGGATCATAGTAGCGCTGATGAAAACGGCAAATTGTTTTACGACGTCAGCGCCAAATGTGGGAGTTTACCGTGCCCTCCTTACAAACATGGACAACAACTGTACTGTAGCGTGTGCTCCAAATAAAGAACTGAATGAGATCTGTCTAAAAATCGACGACAGGGAATAAAGGGTCTCTTAAATAAAATACTTGTGTTAAAGCAAACTCTATCTTTAAAAAAACAAGATGTGTTTGTGAAACACTATGCGCCCGGCGGCAACAAAGTTACAAAACTATTTTTAGCATGTAGGCCACAGTTCAAGGTCACAAGGTCATTGATCTTAATGTTATTTGAAAGAACTTTATTAGTGGAGTATGCATACCAAATATGAAGCCTATATCTCCTATGGTTCAAAAGTTATGGCGAATGTTAGAAAATAGCTATTTTTAGTATTATGGTCACAGTCAAGGTCACAAGGTCAATGTCATTTGAAGTACTTGATAAGTGAAGTATGCATGCGAAAAATGAAGTCTCTATCTCCTATGGCTCAAATGTTATGGCGAAAGTTCGGGAAAAAGCTATTTTTAGCATGTAGGTCACAGTCAAGGTCACAAGGTCATTGACCTTGGTGTCATTTTTATGAATTTAATTAGTGAAATATACATACCAAATATGAAGTCTCCATATCTCAAGCGATTCAAAAGTTATAGCGAAGGTTAAAGTTTTCAACAGACCGGACAAAAATAATATACATTGTACGCCTCGGGATCTATCCATCTGAGTGCATAAAAAGAATACATTTATGCTTTTTTCAGAGTCCAACTTTTTCGATTTCGATAATTTTCGACGACATTAATCAGACAATTGATATCCTTAAACCTGTAAATATTTTACTGTTTTTATTTTTATAAAACCAATAGGAACAACTGATTATTATGATGAACACATAAATTGACTCAAAACACGAATAAAATTATTGATAATAATTCATAATATCTATATGTCGGAAAACATATACCTTCTTCCAAATTTTAAAAAATGAATTAAAGAGGTATCTGTATTTACAGACTGACAAAGTTAAAGGTCAGTGGCCATTATTTCAAAAAAATCTTTAAGTTACGACTTAGACAAAAATGTTCCCATTCCTCATCAAGTTCGGAAAATCAACTTTTATTCGCGTGCGAGAAATTTTCCAAAGTTAGCGAGAGCGTCATCGCGAATATTTCTCGCCGCGAACCGGTCCTTAAAGTGTATGTGTCTATTAACCACCGATGCAAAAAGGCTTGGTCGCGAAAATAAATCGTCGCGAACTAGTTTATCTCTCGTAAATCGCGAAATAAACTCGTCGCGAATAAAAGTTGGTTTACAGTAATTAAACTGTGGTAGACATAAAAAAAATTCTTATATTTCTATAACACTAAGCAACTTAGTGAAACTTAAGAAAAAAATATTTATTTTATTATACAAAAATTAAAGAAATGTCAATCTTTTTAGAACTGACTTTTTGTGAAAAGGACCACTAATCCCCATCCTCATGTAGATACATCGAAAGGCGAAAGGTCAGCCCTTGTATAAATTATCCACAAAAAAGTAAAAAGTAAAGATTTTGCAAAAAGACCTTTCGCCTGTTACGTACGATTGGCCGTCCCTTTTTGCGTAACCAAAAGGGACCTGTCGATAATAGTTTCATCACACTCATACAAACACCCTCACCGCATTTTTCAGGTGATAAGTTCACCCAGCAACCCTTATATTTTTATCCTTTGCAAGCAAGTAAACATCCCCTCGTATACTACTTTCCCCACAAAACACCAGTTTCTATTACTATCTATTTTTACACCCCCCGCGGGAGGGTATATAGTAATCGGTATGTCCGTCCGTCCGTCTGTTACACTTTGGGGTACCCATGCATCTCATCCGCAACTCCTCTCATACCACTGAATGAAATTTGATGAAACTTTTAAAGAATCTTTATTACATATTGCCATTGTGCACCTCCTATTTTACTTTTTGATCCGACACATATTTTGGGTTTCCCACAGCAAAACATAGACACTGTTCTTGTATTCATATGGGAGGCGTGGTATTTATTTAGTGAGCTTATTGCTCACAGTACCTCTAGTTTATGCAACTGTTGTTATGATAATTGCATTATTTGTCCGTTTACTTGCTGAATTGTCTATTATTAGCTAAGTGAGGTGTTTTGGCTAAAATTCCAGTTGAAAATAGATACTAAACACGCTATTTTTGGAGAACTTGACCTCTTCAAATACCTAAATTACGGTACAGATTCTTTCATAAATCCCCATGAATAATACTTTCGTTCCAGATGCCGTAAAACTGGCGTCTGAAAAATGCCAGATTTTTGCAAAGTTGGAACAATTAAGACAGACCATTACGTTATTCATCTGCACGGACAACAGACATTTCTGTGCACACCCTATTGAGATGATCACCGATTTTGATGGACGAAACGTTGTTTAAAGAAAACCAACGCAAATGCACCTAATACATGACCCAGAGAAGTAATCTATAATGATGCTATACAGGGAAACAATATATCGGTTTCTATGCGTTTTATTTCTTTACTCCAACTGACTCGTCGGTTTAACAAGTAGTAATTTCCCATAGTATAATTATACCATCGGTTGAAAAATTTATTTCAAAAACAATTTCCTGCGGTACAGAATCCTATGCTGTATTCTTTAAAGCAATTATGTAGGGATAAAAAGAAAGTTCACAGTATGTCCCGAATTTTTTTTAACTCGGATTAAAGCTAACTAATGGCCTGTAGTCCTGAAAAATGTTGCCCATGAAATCACAGTGCATCACACACTATATAATTATTCAATTAGATAAACAATGTACATGTAATGAGGTTTTATATGACTATCTTATATTAAACATATTTTTAATTTCTTCTCTATCTTTTAAGTTCCTTCTGCCATCATAATTAAATTACTGAGTATTTGTTCTTGAATAAGATACTTAGCATTCGCTACATGTACAGATTGTCCATGGTCAAACAATAATGCCATGTGCACTTCAGAGTGATAAGATAAGGACAACTGCGACACTCTTTGGAACAACAAAATTATGAGGCGATTTTTCGTTTTCTTGGGAGTTGTGTTCACCCTTCTATTTTGCACAGCATCGATGGAACAGAAACGACTACTTATTAATGATCCACAATTGCTCGAAAGCAGGCTTCAGGCAATGGAATCTAAAATTCAGTCTTTGACGACCACGAAGGCGGAAATGGAATCGAAAATCCAAACTTTGACAGCATCAAAGGCGGAAATGGAATCTAAAATCCAAACTTTAACAAGGGAAGTTGAGACCTTAAAGGTCAACAATTCTAAAGGTATGGTAACCTGAAATAAAGCATTTGATCGAGAAATAACATCTGAAACGAGCACTGAGTGGAACCAGACGTTACTCAATTTATATTTTTTTCTTATTTAAAAAATTTACCCCATACCTAATCGTGTATTGTCAGGGTATTTTTTTTTTAAAAGAAAAATACCCCGGTACTAGTAAGTAACGCCAGATGCCTATATGGATATGAGTTCTACTTATTTTTATATAAATTGATATAGCGTATTTTTGATTAAGGAAAATGGTCTTTCTATTTGTATTAA